ACCGCCCCGCCCCCCCCAGCCGCTGGTAATGGAGGAGGCGCTGCGGCAGCAGCCATGGAGGAGGGGGGAGAGCGGGGCATTGTGGGAAACTCCTCCTCGGCCAATCAGAGTGGAGTACCTCTACCCCGCCCCGCTGCGCACCGCCTATCTCCGCCCCCCCTACTCATCATCATCAACAGCGCTGTCACACCATGAGAGAAGCAACACCTTGTAATCATAAATCATACCTAGTACCATGTACCATACCAGTACCCCCCAGTACTCCATTATTACTACTACCCAGTGCCTTACCAGTACTCCATTATTTCCACTACACCATACATACCCTGTAATCATAAACCATACCCAGTATCATGTACCATACCAGTACCCCCAGTACTCCATTATTACCATTACCCCATACATACCCTGTATTTATAAATCATACCCAGTACTATGTACCATACCATTACCCACGTTCTCCATTATTACTACTACCCCATACATACCCTGTAACCACAAATCATACCCAGTGCTATGTACAATACTAGTACCCCCAGTACTCCATAATTACTACTACCCAGTACCTTACCAGTATCCACCAGTACTCCATTATTATTATTATTACTACTACCCTATACATACCCTATAATCATAAATCATACCCAGTACTATGTGCCATACCAGTACCCCACAGTACTCTACCTTACCAGTGCCCCCAGTACTCAATTATTACCACTAGCCAATACATACCCTGCAATCATAAATCATACCCAGTACCCTGCCAGTAACACCCCCCCCCCCATTATTATTACTACTACCCAGTACCACCCATACTCCATTATTACTACTACCCAGTAACTTACCAGTACTCCATTGTTGCCACTACCCCATACATACCCTATAATCATAAATCATACCCAGTATTATGTACCATACCAGTACCTCCCATACACCATTATTATTACTACCACCCAGTACCTTACCAGAACCCCCTGTGCTCTGTTATTACTACTACACCGGAACGTTACCAGTACTCCATTATTACCACTACCCCATACATACCCTGTAATCATAAATCATACCCAGTGCCATGTACCATACCAGTCCCCCAGTACTCCATTATTACTACTACACCATACATGCCCTATACAATTAACCAATACCCAGTACCTAATTACTCAATTATTACTGCTGCCCCATACATACAATGTACAATAAACCATACCCAGTTCATCAATACTGCATTATTACTATTACCTCATACATACTCTGTACAATAAATCACACCCAGTACTATGTACCTTACCCAGTACCTCATTACTCCATTAGAACTACTACCACATACATACCCTGTACAATAAATCATACACAATACCTCAACACTTCATTGTTACTACTACTTCATATATATACGCTGTAAAATAAATCATACACAGAACCTCAGTACTCCATTATTCATACTACCCCCATACATACCCTGTGCAATAAACCATACCAGTGCCCCAGTACTCTATTATCACTACTACCCCATACATACTCTGTACAGCAAATCATACCCATTATTATACCAGTACCTCAGTACTATATTATTATTACTACCCCATACATACCCTGTACAAGAAATCATACCCAGTACCATACCAGTACCTCATTACTCCATAATTACCCCCCTACATACCCCATATCAGATTATATCATTACTCCATTATTACCCCTGTACATACCCTACATCCCTTCACAGGATACCTCATTACTCCAATGTTACCCCTGTACATATCCCATATCAGGACACCTTATTACTTAATTATTACCCTGCACATCCTCATCACCTCCCGGAATACTTCAGTATATATAGTACCTCATAACACAACACCTTATTATTGTATTCATATCCTTTTTCCACTTTATGTCACACTTTTCACCTCCAAAATGATTCATTTCACCCAAATGGATCTGAGATCTAAATCCTCTTCTTGTCTCACCACGTGGACTGTTGGAGCAAAATTTGCTTTACAGAAAAAAAGACACGTCTCGGTTTTCTTCACGTAGAGATATCAGAGCCGTGTCAGCCTTCACATGGTGATCACATGACTTTGTTGATAAACAGAACCATGTCACTGACAGCTGCCAATGTGAAGAGAGAGCACAGGCAAAAATAACTCACTAAATAACATTATAATGAAAAGTTGTGTATGAACTTTGCACGATATTCTAATTATTCGAGTTTCACCTGTATATTGTTTTACTTCTTTGGTCAATTTGTATGAAAAGTCAGGGTTCCTCTGTTTCTCCAGATAAAGAGGAAATGATTTTGAACATAGACAGTTTGAGGATGCTCAAAAGGAGATCCTGTATCCTTCAGAAGCCATTTAAACCCACTGCACCTTTAAAGCTGAATTTCGGGCAGGAAAACGACAGGAGAGGGCAGAGACAAGACCAGTCACTCTGCACAAGGAGAGAGAGCAGCAGTGACCGGTCTTTATTACAGGAATCTCCAGGTTTCATGCTGGATTACTGGAAGAAATACACAAAGCTCCCCAAGATTCAAGTAAGACTATACATGACTCTCCTATTTACACAATATTTGCTTTCCTGGAGTACAGCTTTAAAAATAAATAAACCAAATCACCTTAACTTTACCCTCTTCATTGACTCCAATGCATTTTCCCCATGATTATAACTAACCTTAGAAAGTTTCATATCACTGAAAGTGTAGTAGGAGCTTGGAACAGACTTCCAGCAGAGGTGGGCAGTCAGTCATGCGATAAACTACTTTATCCTTTTCTGCTATCACTATGTATGTAACGGTGAATTCTGGTGAACTGTCCTAACTTCGTGCAAAATCTTTGGCTTAACATAATCTATCCATTTTGCTCATCCCTATTCATCTCACACACACACACACGATTCATTTATAAAAGTTACGCCCGAAATATACTGTAGCTAGGGGGATGCCTTTTAATGACTCACCGCCCGGCTTCTTGGTTGGTTGAGAAGCTGGCCAATCCGGAAGCCAGGCAGCGAGTCATTACCCGTACCCGGCTTCCTGATTGGCCAGAAAGGTGGCTCAATGCTTCCTTGTCACCTTGTGATGAGGAAGCATGGAGATGGCTTCCCGAGAGAGCATAGAGATGGCTTCATTACATGCCTCCCAGCTTCCAGTATCAGAAAGCCGGGTGGCGAGTCATTACACGCTGCCCGGCTCCTGATTAGCCTGGAAGCCGGCAACATGCTCCCCTGTCACCAGGAAGCTTGCTAGCCAATCAGGAAGCCGTTTAGCGTGTCATTGCACGCCACTCGGCTTCCTTAACAGGACTTCCGGTATCGGTAGATGGTATCGGCGAGTTTGTGCCGGTGTCCATCCTTTACTTCCACAAACACACAGCAAGGCTCCCCAGCAACCTGCTTTCCTCTCCTCCCTTCTCCAACCTACCCTGTTTGCCCGAAAATAAGACCTACCCCGAAAATAAGACCCAGTACTATTTTTGGGAATTGGTAAAATATAAGACCTACCCTGAAAATAAGACCTAGTTGGGTCGGTGGCGGCATAAGGGGGAACTTGAAGAGCCGCGAGAGAGGCTGGAGAGAATCAGCAATGCCAACAAAGCCAGCGCTAGAGTAAGCGAGGCGGCAGCGGAGGGAGCAGAGCCGCATAAGCCGATGCCTCCTCTATAGCGCCGGCTCCTGTCATAGGCGGAGTGATACCAAATGCACTCCGCCTGTGAGGAATCCATAGTGAAAGCTCGCTTCGCTCATTCTGGCCAGCTTTTGGTTACCAAATTGCTCTTGGAAAGGTACGGCACCCCTGATTGCACTGATCACCATATTCATAACTTTGCCATTTTGGATTATTTAATTTGGATTTGCATTCATTTTTAATTGTTATACATGAAAAAAAAAAAATAAGACCTAGTGTGTTTTTTTGAGCCAAAAAAAATATAAGACAGTGTCTTATTTTTGGGGAAACACAGTATACATATAATGTACATATTCCTATATATACATTTTTCCTTTCCTATATTATCCACAAAGAACACTTATTCTATATCCTGTATGTTGTATCATGTCCTATAATACTTTTTACCTCGGGTGGCGCCGTGTAAATCACAAAAGTATTGAAATAGTCACCTGCAGTCCCAGGTCAAACATGCTGGACGTCTTTTATTCAGACATTAGGCAATCATAGTGACACAGTGTAAAAAAGCAACGTTTTGGAACCGAGCATGCTCCCTTCATCAGGCAAACACAGTGACATGTTGCAACCAGTGACATACTTGGCTGAGCACTGTTGGTGTAAACAAGCATACTTTTGTTATCAACAAAATAACAAAAACACCCGCTTCTTTAGAATAAATATTTTGTGTAAAGGAGTCTAGGGTCCCATGCCTCGCAGGGCACGCCTTGGGGTGTTCGGGCTGTGCGGTCGCACAGGGCGCCGTGGCAACAAGGGCGCCAGGCGGGCCGACAGAGAAGCCGCAGCTTTCAGGATGGCCGAGCGGTTGAGTAGAGCGGCGCCGCTGTCATCCTGTCAGTTTCAGGATGGCAGCAGCTCTGTGCGTAGCCGAGCGGAGGATCGGTAATATCATTGATATTTACCGATCCTCTGTGTGCAGCACAAACACTGGAGTGATCGGCTGATTACTCCAGTGTTTGTAAATAACTGGGGACTC